GAAGCTCCTTTACTGATCACCGGATCAATCGTCTCAACAAATCTCCCTTCCTTCAACATCTTCCTCACGTACACAACCAGATTCACATCTTCCTCCTCGCGATTGAAATCGATCGCCTTCTTCGATGTCAATAGCTCGAACAACACAACACCGAAGCTATAAACATCGCTCTTATCCGTCAGCTGAAAATTCAGATAGTACTCTGGATCTAAATACCCTAAAGTCCCTTGCGCACAAGTCGTAACGTGACTCACATCACTCACTCCTAATCTCGATAATCCGAAATCTGCCACCTTAACGTCGAGATTCTCGTCGAGGAGAATGTTACTCGATTTCACATCTCTATGGTAAATCGGAGGCGTAACGGAGGAGTGAAGATAAGCGAGTCCTTGAGCCGTCTGGTGCGCGATCATGAGACGGCGAAGCCACGGTAACGATGATGTTCCTCCGCCGTGGTGGATCTGCTCGTACAAAGTTCCGTTGGGTACGAATTCGTAAACCAGAATCGGTAGATCTAGATCGATGCAGCATCCTAAAAGCTTCACTAGATTGTTATGGTTAACTTGACAAAGGATCTGAACCTCGTTGACGATTTGGTAAATGCTTTTCTCGTTACCGAGTTTGGCTCGTTTCACGGCCACTGTGATGCCGTCGTCGAGATTTCCTTTGAAAACTTCGCCGAATCCGCCGAATCCGAGGAGATTTGGTTTGGAGAAATTGTTGGTGGCTTTGACGATTTCTTTGCCGGAGAAGATTCTTTCGAGTCCGGTACTGTTGGTAGTCAATAAGTGTCGGTGGATTTTTCTTATGCTTGCCCACGATTGAATTCCGGCGATTCTCCGATTGTTCGTCGAGATTATCGTCTTCGTTACGAATCCGGCGATTAATATCGCCCCTATACCTCCCGCCAAACCTGTTTAATAACCGAACCAAATCAATATGCATCAAACCAAATCGAACCGATGCGGCCTTAATTCAAAAAGCGGACCACATTTTAGTATGGTTTAAATGGTTTTTTTCTATATATAACATGAGAATAGAATAAGATCCGCGTTAATATGCGGGTAAACACATTAAATAATATTACTATCAAAATTTAAATTTTAATCAGTAACCCGTTTAATTACAAAAATATTTTAAAATATTTAAACATGAATCTCAAACCATTAAAGTTTAATTTATATCTTAATTCTCATGTCCCAATTCATATTACGCAGGCCAAAAATATATATATACATAAATAGGATTCAAATCATATTCTTAATAACAAAAACAAATATTCTTACACATTATAAATTTATATTAACTATCAGATAAAATCTTATAAAATTAAAATATTATAGTTAAATTATAAAACAATAAATTTATGTGAATAATCTCATAAAAATTTATAAATTTCAAAAAATGCCACTTTTCAATTGCCACTTTACAAAAATACCACACTTTTGAAATCTTTACAAAAATGCCACTTTTTCAAAATTATTTTTTCTTTGTATTATTTATGTTTGGGTTACTTATATTCTATTAGGGTTTAGTTATGAGGGTTTAGGGGCTTTATGGGTCAAAACATTTTTTAGTGTTTAGAATTTTAAGATATAGGGTTTAAAAATCTATAATTACTGGTATTTTTGCAAATGAACACCCCTAAGTTGCATTTTTGCAAATGTGCACATAAAAAGTGGTATTTTTGCAATTTTCTCAATTATATAATTATATTTACAAAGTAAATATATTTATAGATTTTTTTTCTTTGGTATGTTTGTGCATATAAACTTTAACATTGAGAATTCCATATTCTTGTTAATTTTTTTGTTTTTCAATTTATAAAAATTCTTTTGTTTTATCATTCATAGTTGTTTCTTAATTTAAATTTCTATTTCCTCTCTACTTTTTTTATTGTTTATACTCTTTCTATTTTCTTTCCAAATTTTATTTTTATAATTTGTTTAAACTATTTTAATTATTTTTTCCTATCTATTTGGGATTATTAGATTTTTTTTTACTATTTGATTAGTTTTTTTGACAATTATTTTGTTCGTTTTCCATTTTTAATTTTACTTTTTCTTAATTAATTGTAAGTTTTAACGCATGTCATCATCAGATCAATATTGGACACTTGTTATGATCTGGTGAATTATAATTTTGCTTAAGTGTTAAACTCTCGTCGATAATATTTTCTTACTTGTTCTCTCTACTTTTTTTTAGGGTTTACACTCTCTCTATTTTCTTTCTTTATTGAATTTGATAAACAAAAAATTTTAATCTAGCTATTTTGGACTATTAGAAATTTTTCTTTATTAGAAATTTTCATTTTCTCATAATTAGTTTGAAAAATAAAAAAAAATATTATTTACTATTTGGTTAGTTACTTTACAATTATTTTGTTCGTTTTCCATTTTTATTTTTATATATCTTTAACTAATTTCAAGCGTTA